GTTTTAATGTCTGTCTTTAAACATTCTTTTCTAGATATAAAATGGCATCTTATTACAATTTTATTTTGCATTTCCTTCATTAGTTTACTTGCCATGCTTCCTTTCTTTGTGAAATGACACTTCCCTTTCTAAAATGCCTGTTTTGTCCATTTTTCTGTTGGGTTATTTGTCTTTTTCTTATTTATATTTAAGAGTTTTTTTATATATTTTAACAATTATTTTCTTTAATTAGAATTGTTGCAAATGTCTTCAATGAATCCTCAAAAACATACATCAGATCTGTCCCTGCCCCTTCACTCCTTCCCATTATATTTAGAATATAATTTAAACTCCTTACTCTGGTGCAGCTGAATTTTATGCAAGGGATACATTTTTGAAACCTTTACACAAAATTTAAAAAATATATAATTCAAGACTATTTAGCAAGACTATTTCATTATAAATGTAAATTTATTGAAGGGAAGATCCAATTTTACCAGCTATCATGGCTCCGCCATGTGGCAATAACATAAACAGTTTCTCATTCACTGAACCACCACCAGCTTTGAAAGTATGCAATTCCTGACAAATGTTAAACATTGTGAAGGCTTCACACTGCTTCAAATTTTGTGCAAACAATAAGGTGTTATTAATAGTTTATAATGAACTATTTCAAATGTGTGTGATTCAAATACTCACAAAACGTGACCATACTTTCTTACTGTTCTTGTATCACTCTCAAGCCCATTCATGTCTCTTTGCCTTGGCATTTGTTGTTTCCTCTGCTTTCAATGCTCTGTGAATTGCTAGCACCTAGAATGGTGAGGAAGGGACAGAAGTGACATATCCAGAGGTAGGAATAATATTGCCAATATAAAAAGGGAACATTGGACAAAGTTTCAAAAACAAAAAAAAACCCAGACATAACTTACAACTAATGTTGAATATGTCAAACACTTGAAATCTTAATCTGAAGGAGGGAAGACAAAGGTTGGATTAAGCCTACGTGGAGTTTAGGAATGGTAGGAAAGGTAGAAGTTCCAAAGCTGCCAGTTCCTTTGGGCTTAGATGGGTACATCTCAAGGAAAATTACACGAAGGAATATGGGTTCCTTGGAGCCCTGGAAGTTCCAGAATCCAGTATCTGAAAGCCTTCGTGGAGTCAGCCTCTACTGGCTTTGCTCATCGCAGGGAGGCAGGAATTTGAGGGCTAAGGATAGGGAAGAGGGTAGAAGGAGAAGCATAGTCCTCCTAAACTCTACCTAAGTCACCCTAAATCAGGGAATGAAAAAATCAAATATCTCCATGCAACAAATATAATGAGTGAAGCAAGCTAGATGTAAAGAAAAGTACATGCTCCTCCCCCGCCCCGACTTATTTTTTGTTTTTTCACTTTTAATGGAGAAATGACATGGGGAAACAACAATATTTTCAACAGAAGCCAGCAAGCCAGATTTGTATACAAAACTTCCCAATTCTAAATATTGGTTCAAAAAAATTTTTAAATACCATGCAGGCCAACAATATCTGAGAGTCAAATCTGGTCCAGCAGGACACAGGAGGCTTTCAGATCAAAGCAAATCTCAGAGTTAATTGGGGTAAAAATTACATGTGAATAAGTTTCATAGAATTGCAGAATATTCGTATCAGATTCTAAACCAGACTTTCATCCAACATAAAAATCTGGTCTTTCCACCAAAATAAAAGCAGTTGACCAACACATGGCAAAGACTGGTGGACAGCAAAGGAAGGGAGCCAGGTTGGAGAATTTGCCTTGCCACTGGTGCTGTTTGCTTGAATTGGGCAGAGCCCCATGGATTCAAGGCTGAAGGCAAGTCTCCAATGGCAGGTAGCACCACCTCACAGTATTTATAAAGAATTTCTTTTCTAATATTGTGGATTTCATACTAGAGTCTTGTTTCTGGATGTTTTATTCTATGAGTTATCACTGGGTCCAGCAACATCTATTTTGGATGGAGTTAGAGGGGTAAGTCCTAAGAATTCTATTCTTGGGGAAATGTCTTCCTGGGTGGGTCATTTAGGGCGGACCCACTGGAAAACCAGTTTTTTTCTGTACCTCTTCTCCATGTTCACACCGGGGCTGAGTGCATAGGTGTGAGTGCCAGGTGGAAAGCTGGTAATAAGGGTGCCACCCTGACAATGAGGGCAGAGCAGGAGACCTGGCAATGTGGTGATGATAAGAATCTCTGGTCATGGGGTGGGGAAATGCAATCATTGGTGTGCAAAGGAAGGCAGTAGCTGTAAAACTGGTCTCTTCCACCTTCCCAAGTGGTTTCATCCCTTTTCTTTTATGGGCTCTTATTCTAGCAATTGTACCCTTTCTGGCATGTATTTAATCTCTCCTCTGTCTCTGTACTGTTTCCTGCCTTTCATCCTCCAGGTACATGTTAAGTCTTCCTTTTCTCCCAAAAAGAGCTCCCTGATATTTTCTTCCCTCTCAACTTACTACAATGTGGCTTCTGCCCACCCCACTCTTTCACTGAAGCTGCCCTCTCTAACCTCTGACCCAGTTGCCAAATTTTTCTGAAGCTTTCAGTCCCATTCACCATCTTCTTCTTGCCTTTCTTGGATTCTAGGGGATAATACTCCAGGTGTTCTATCTCTCTGACTGCTCTTTCTTTTTCTGCTGGCTCCTCTGTCTTCACCCATTCCTTGAATGTTATTGTTCCTAGAGTTAATGGAACCCCCATATGGCAACCCTGTAACAAGTAGTAAAGGTGCACCACACTCTGAGCACAACTCTGGCCCAGGGTGCAGGGCCTGGCAAGCAGAGATTAGACTGATGTCAGGCCCCATTCCCTGCACTCAACCTGGTACCTTTGTGCAGTGAACACCCTGTACAACTGCATACTGCCACCCAGAGTGCTATTCTCCATTTTTCTCATCTCCTTTTTGCTTTATTCTCCCTCTGTAACTTTGTTGACTTTTAAGATTCCAAAACTTGCATGTCTATTTAATCTCTAGACATTGCTTCATCTGCTTCCTAAACTTCTTTTCCTAGGTGTCCTGTGGTTCCCCCCAAATTTGCTGTATTCCATCTCTTGGTTAATGACACCACCAGACTGTCATTCAATTGAAAACTTTCAGCTTATCTGTACCTATTCCCTTTCCACAGTTTAAAGCTTTTGTCATCTCCCAAGTCTATAACCGAATTGCCTTCTGAGTAGTTTCCCTATCTCTAGAATCTCTCCCCTCCAAATCACCCTTTGCTCTGCCTTTGGGTTTCTGTCTTTACACAAAACTGAGCATATTGCCCCTTTATTTGAAAACCTATTTTGGCTTCTAATTAGTCATAGGATAAAATCCAGATGCTCAGGCATGGCCTGTAAAAACCCTTCATACCCTGAGGCAACCTACCTTTCCAATCCTACTCCTTGCCCTAGTCTCAGCACCATCCTGCTATTAACCACATAAGACCATAACGCAGTTTTTTTAACATGATTTTGCGATGTGCTTTAATGCCTCCACGCCTTTGCTGGGGTCTTGCATGCCTCTCTTGTGTTTTTTGCCTTGTAAAATCCCATCTACCTCTTAAGATAAGCTCACCACCTATCGTCTCTTTTTTCAGGCACCTCTGGCCTCACTGCTTCTACAGCACCATTGGTATGCTAGTATAGATTGTCGAAAAGTTATCTTATATCTTTCCGACTACATTGGTATCTTAAGGGCAAGATTAAGCTTTGTTAGTCTCCATATCATCACCTTGCCCTGTGTCTGGTATACGGTAGATAATGCACAAAATTTTGTTAAATTGAGCACGATGCTTGACCATCATTTTGGGAAAGGGGCAGTGGTTTCTTTCAGCATAATTTTCAGCCTGTTCCTTTTCTTCAGACATCAGAAGAATGGGACAGTTGATGGGCCCTGTAGAGATAGTTGCTATGTCCTATCTTCAAACTTTAGCCAGGGTTGTCTAGGGACATAGAGATGGTGATTTCTCAAAAATTACGAATGGGTATCTGAGTGTGGATTTTTCTAGATATTAGAGTTCCTATTAATCATTCCTAACCAGTGATGATTTTCAATTTAGGACCTAGATTCCAAGTTCCACAGAAGCGCTGAGTTAGGGTTTTCAATGGTAAGGCACATATATTTGTACATGTTTTATCACCTGTGGCTCCCATCCGAACATCTTACCAAGTGTTCCGATTTCAGAGCACCATAAGCAATATAAAAACACACTCACACTCACACACACACACACAAATATATAAATATATATATGTAAAAGGGCTTTACTGAAAAAATCTCAAAACCTTGGAAAACCGCCGAGCTATCTTGAAGGGACTGGGGAGCGGAACTCATTGCAGAGAACCTGGCAAACAGCATGGATGCCTAAGACTGACCTGTGTCATTCCCCTTAGTTAAACTCCACAGTAAATGCTGGGCCGGGTAGGAGACACTCAACGACTCCAAGAAGCCCAGAATGGGTAGTTTTCTTGAAATGAGCAAATGAGTATTTGTAGAACCTTGGTAATTGCTTTTGAGTGAGTGGGAAAGACCTTGGTTCCAGTTTTCCCTAAAATACCAGAACTTGGTTCTGACTACAATCCAAGTAACAAGATGGCCACTGAAAATGTAATGACTAGTCAGCAAAGGATGCCTCTAAGAGACTTTGGGAACATTTTTGTGACGATCAACCCATCCTAAGCCCTGTAATTAATTATGTGGCTCCTCGGCACTGCCCTACAGCCTCGAGCCCCTTTTTGGCTTCTGAAAATGTGCTTAATGCAGTCAATTCTCCAATGCTAGCGTATTCGGGCTCGAGGCCCAACATCGAACCCTCCGGCTCCCCCGCTCGGAGCCTGATCCCAGGAAGGCGCCCGGGCGCGAGGAAGTGGGATGCCAGCTGGTCAAGGGCGCGGGCGCCACCTGGGCGGACTCAGTGCGGCGCGGAGCAGAGACCAGAGCGGCAGCCGCAGCCGCCTCGGGACCAGCCCCCGGCGAGGGCGCGGGGGGACCGAGCGCGTCAGCAAGCCCGCCCCCGTCGGCCCTCCCCCGGGCGGGCCCAGCCCACGGCGCTGACTCAGCAACGCGAGGGGGACTTTTGTCCCTCCGCAGACCCCGTTTCTCTCGGACTCGGCCCTCCGCCGCGGCCGAGCCGGTTTCCCCTTTCCGGCGCTCCGGGTGCGAGAAGCAGGCTGAGTCGCCTAGGCGGCGAGCGGCGGTGCAACGCGGGCGCTCGCCTGAGGCCACGAAAACTACTGTTCCCTCGCCGGGCAGCGTGGGCGCCATGAACAACGCCGGTGAGGCGCTGCCCTTTCGCGCCGAGGTCCTCCCCGGGGGCTCCGGCTGGGCCCGGAGGCCCGGCGGCAGGGAAGAGCCGGGGATGGAGCTTTTTGGGCGGGCTGGAGCGGCCTGGAGCGAAGCCGCAGCCTGGGGGAGGACACTGGTAAAGGGCTTCTCCGCTGCAGTGGTCACTTCAGGAGGCTCTTGGGAACTTAGAGCCAGGGTGTGGGAGTCCCGGATCGGCCTGCTGCAGTGTTCTGATCCCATCTCGTCTTCCAACAGGACTGAATTCGGAGAAGGTAGCTGCTCTGATTCAGAAACTGAATTCCGACCCCCAGTTCGTACTTGCTCAGAATGTAGGGACCACCCACGACCTGCTGGACATCTGTTTGAAGAGGGCCACGGTACAGAGTGTTCAGCATGTGTTCCAGCACGTTGTGCCTCAGGAAGGCAAGCCTGTCACCAACCAGAAGAGCTCAGGTAAGGTCTTCAAACTTCTTGCACTCTTGACCTTCCTGATAGCGCCCTGTTTTGTTGTCTAACTTGAGAACGGTCTAATGGGAGCAGAGGCTTGTATTGAAGGGACTGTGGTAAATTCCTAGAGAACCGGCACAGGTAAAGACAGTTCCAAGAACGTTACCTTTTGATATGTTTTGGTGCTCTGTGGCTTGTTAGTTAGTGTACTTAATTTGAGCACTAAAGTGATTAGTCCCTGCCCATCTGTTTGGAAGTAATTCACTATCTTCTGCCTGGAGTTATGTGATTACAGCCCCATGCCTTGGAGATAGATGCTCTTGGCACACAACAGACCACGCAAAGATGTTCATGTCCAAAGTTGTCCTGAAGGCCATAAACAAATATATAAAATGGAAAATATACAATGTAATTGCATCAAGATGTCATTAAATGTTATTTTTAAATATGATTTTTGACGGCAACTTGAGCAAATGTGTTGATGGGCTCAGTTCCCACGAACAGACCAGTTTGTAATATAGAAAATATTCCATTCTCATGCTTTACTGGCCAAGAGCTCTTGTTTTGCTATCTGCTGGCTAGCACCACTGTCAGAAAAACAGCAAACAGTGAAAGACTGGTTATTCAGGAATCTAAATAAGGAGGACATTCTCGCAACAAAATTGTACTAAAAGTATTTTTTAAAGTCTGTTCGTTTCAAAACTGCTCCCTGTCTGTTTATATTGACAGAAAGCAGATCAGTGCTTGCTTAGAGCCAGTTAGAACTCATAGTGTACATTTAACATGATTATCTTTTATTGTATGTAAATTATACTTCAGTAAAGTTGATTTTTAAGTTTTAAGGAGAAAAGCCCATAATTTTGCAACAGTTAATGTTTTGCCATCGTTGAAAGTTCTTGGGTGATGGGGACTGTCAGGCTACAAATGATCTAGTTAGTAATGTCACAGTGTCCTATGTAGTTCAGATTGCAGGGAAAAGCCTTGAAAAAATTACTAGAAATACTCATCTGGAACAGATTAGGTCTTATATATTCTACAGTGTCACTTCTATTTATAACAGATACAAATAGCACGTGAACTATATAGGTTATTTTCTTGCAGTTTTCACATTAACAGTTCATCCAGATAACCTCTACTGGGAAATAATACAGAGTGTATGAGAGAGGTGACATACAGGAAAATCCACAGTAAAGATGAGCTGTACTAAGTGATCAGTGACTCTCAGAAAACAATAGTTACTTACTTTTAATTGTTTTTTTCTTGTTACAAAATTTCAGTTGTTCAATGTAGAGAATTTGCAAAATACCAAGAGAAAATATTTTTTCTGTCACATCTTTGTGTATGTGTGTGTTTAATATGGGTGGATACCTTACCTATTGTTAGGTAACCTACCTACCTTTTTACTTATCAATATATTGTGAACCCATTTTCTTCTCAGTAAAAATGTTATACTCAAATAAAAGTCAAGGTTTTTTCCTCTGAATTTTCCTTCAGAAAAGAAGAGTTATCCTATATGTGAAGCCTTATAAAGAATCTCATAACAAGCCCTCTCAGTTCATTTATTTTGAAGGAAAGTACAGTTTTGCAGACATTACTCTGAAGTGACCTCAGTCCTCAAAAGTGCTAGTTTATAGGGATCATTTGATTGAATCAGTTTTTTTATTTTAAGCAGAAAATTTTGAATGTAGTATATTCCTAGGATATGACTTCACATGGAAATACTGGATATGACTGTAAATAGCCCTTCTAAAGATCACTTAAGATGGTACAAGAAAGGGTAACATCATAGAGTTTGTGTTTATCCACTTACAGGACAAATGAAGAATGCGTTGGATAGTCGATGCATACAATTTTCAGGGACAGCACACATGGATTCAAAACATTGCTGTGACCCAAACATACTAGATGGAACAAAGATGATGTGTTCTGATTGAAAGAGTTAGCTCAACAACTTTTTTTTTGTCATTGGGATAGGGGGATTGACTTATGAAAGGGTCACCTTGGATTGAAATACTTACTTTATATTCCAGATTAAAGAATAGGGACTTTTTAAAGCTTTTGCTCTGAGGTGCCAAATTGCCCTCAGATAGTCTGTACCTGTTTGGAGATATACTAATGCTATTTTCCAATGTTCTTGCCAACACTGAATATTTTATCTATTAAAAAATAATGTTTTCAAAAAAATAATAATAATGTTTTCTCACTTAACAGGTGTCTTATGATGAACTTCAGGAAATTTTTCTTTGCCATTGTATCTTTTTTGCCCATTAAATTATGTTGTCGTGTTTCTCTAGCAATATTTATTTTTCCAATATGATTTTCTTAGGTGATTTGTAATGCATTCTTATATGATGTGTGAAGAGATTTTTTTTTATATGTTAGGATATTACATCTTTGCATATATATTGCAGATAGTAATTACTGCCTTTCTTCTTTTGTTTATTGTTATTAAAATCTTCCTACCCTTTCTGATTTGAATCATCCAAGATCTTGTCATGGGTTCAATGTTGGGAAATACAGTTGGAACAATGTAATCTATGTGAACACTCATCATCATTTCTTGGTTTGCTTTCTTGTTTCAGGGCGATGCTGGATCTTCTCTTGTCTGAATGTTATGAGACTTCCATTCATGAGAAAATTAAATATTGAAGAATTCGAGTTTAGTCAGTCTTACCTCTTTTTCTGGGATAAGGTATGGTACTGATCTTGTGAGATTATTTTTGTTTCAATATCACATTTGGTAGGGACTATTCTCTTCATTTCTTGCTTTTCCAGTTGTAGTCTGCCTTCCATTATAGATGAGACACCTTTATTCTGCTTTCAAAAGCATCAAAAGTTGGTTCTTCTCAAAAGTAGAGGACTTCTTTTGGTGGGTAGATGGCTACTTTTTGCAATGAAATAAGTCTACTGACTCACCCTCCTATTTCTTTAACTTACTTCTTAAAAAATTATTTTGTTTTTAATGATTGCTCCCTTTAACATATTTATTTAGGTAACTTGGTCTTTCTCAGGCCTAGTAGCCTTTCTCTGGGTAGTACTTGTCTGAGAACAATAAATAATTTTATTCAATCTTTTTATCTTTAAAATGTACATCATGTAAGTGTCCATTCGATGTTTATTGATTGAAGACTATCAGATTTTGTTTCAAAATAAAGCAATGCCTTGTTTGAATAAACTATTGAAATATATACACACAGATTTAAGAAGAAACTTTAAATATTCTTATGAATCCAGATACTGTTATTTAATGACCAACTTTAGTTTAAAAATACATAGAATATGTTGCATCTACAGTAGTTACAAGACTCCTGTTGATAATGCCGTTAAAGATATTAGCCCTCTTTTCCTGTAACCTGATGTAACTTCTCTTACTCTAGGTTGAACGCTGTTATTTCTTCTTAAATGCTTATGTGGACACAGCCCAGAAAAAGGAGCCTGAGGATGGGAGGCTGGTGCAGTATTTGCTTACAAATCCTGCAAATGATGGTGGACAATGGGATATGCTTGTCAATATTATTGGTAAAAGCCTTTCTTTGTTGGAACTGAAACTCAGCATAATCAAGCAAGATTCTTTAGTTAGGCATAGGCCATTTCTTTGGTGGTTATCTTTAGAGTAGAACTGGTCTCCCAGAAAGGTGTACAGTTAGCTGTAAGAACCTTTATCTCATTCTCACTATCAAGTACCTTTCTTAGATGAGAGGTAAGGTGGGGGGGTGGGTAGGTACTATGAAGGTAGGCTGGAAAGAAAAGGTATTAAGTAGAACCAACTTTCTATGAAAAAGTTTATTTCTTGTCCATTGATGTGATCAAGAAACACATTTAGACTGCAACTGTTTGAATATGTCTCATTCAAAAACAACGTGTTGCTTTTGGGAGAATTTCATCATGCTGAGCACTTTACAAAGTATAACAGATAAAAAGAATAGAATTAACTCAAAGATAGATGGATAAATGTGAAGATTAAATGACCTGTTTACTAATACAGAGCATAAGATTGCTAAGTTTTCTGAATGAGCCTAACAAAATATGTCCTATTTTTAAAAAGAATAGCTTTTTTTTCCCCAGGCTTCTAACCCAGGCTTCTAACTTTCCAGGCTTCTAACTTTCACCTTACTGAACAGGAGAATTTGTTTTCTTTTAGAAAAATATGGTGTTATCCCTAAGAAGTGCTTCCCTGAATCTTATACAACAGAGGCCACCAGAAGGATGAATGATATTCTAAATCACAAGGTATAGCATATGGAGCAGAATGGGATTGAATTTAGTGTACTTACCTTAAAACTCCTAACCAGTTTTCCAGGGGGATTTCTGAGCTTTTAATGTACACAGTTCATGTACAAAATAGCTACTCAGTGTCTAACAAAGTTTTTTTTTTTTCTTTTAAAAAAATCTTGCACTTTTATTTTTATTGATTTTAATGTTTCCTTGTGGGTACTGAGGAAGGTAAGTCCCATGCTAAATATGGGCCACAAGCACACTGGGTGCTGTGCCTCACCCTTGGCTCTAGTAGAGATGGGCTGGAATCTTTATATTCTAGTGAAACCCTATAAAAACTATTTTAAGGCTTCCTTAAAGAGAGTATGCAGAGTTGTGAGGCTTCCCCAAACCACATCAGTGTAGTTTATCCACTCACTAAAATTTGATGTAGTCACTGAACTGCTTTTTATTGCTCCAGTTATCTCAATGAATCATTCTCTCCTGTCTTCTCTACATAACCCATTTTCCAAAGGAAGATTATAAATTCTATAGGGATGCTGCTCTGCCAGCCAGGCATCTTTTTTGAGAACTAGAGTTGCCAGACTCTTCCATCTTGAGGCTAAATTGGGCCTGTTATCCTTGGGAGAAAGGTTACATTCTAAAATAAACTATAGATGTGTTACCCCAATATTAGAAGTAGGTTATTTTCCACCCAGGAAACTGGGGATTCTTATCCACAGGCTAAAAAGATCCTTAATAGTGTAGCATTAGATTCCATTTCAGATGGGAGCAAGTCTTCATTAGCACTGTGGTTAAATTTAAAACTCATCTTTCTGTTAGCTGTCTCTCAAAATTGAGAACAATAGAAATGAAAACTACATTTGAGGGGCATCGTCATGGTCATGATTTGGCAAAGAGGGAAAAGTGGAATAGTAAAATTCTAAATAAAAATCTGTTAGAGTGACTTAGTGGCATAATCACTTTCAATCTACTTCATTTTGTAAGGGTGGTAGGCATTATGGAATGAGGGGTCTCCCCTATACCCAGGTACATATTTTCACAGAGGGTACCATCAGTTGCAGAGCAGGAATAGTTCCATCTAGTATTGTGGGGAATAATCCATGTCTTTTTCTTCTAGTGGAAAGTGTTTCTAGCTATGTGTACAAATGGACTGGTTGGAGAAAACACCTGCTTTTATCACCTTTGCCCTGGGTTTTGGCTGAGTCATATTTCAGAATAGAACTAGCATTGCTCTACTAGACCCATTTACTGTTGAATTTGGATAATATTGGAGTGCTGAATAATTTTCTGTCATAGATGAGAGAATTCTGTATACGTCTACGGAACCTTGTGCACAGTGGAGCAACCAGAGGAGAAATCTCAGCTGCACAGGAGACCATGATGGAAGAGGTAATAACAATTATTTTGGATCTTTCATGACCCTTTTAAGGAACTCTCAGAATATCCCCATCTGGTAAACTGATTAAGAAGCATAGTCATTGCAATAAATGTTGAATTGAACTGCAAATTAATTTTTACAGCTGAAAAAACTGATGTATAAACTTTGCATTTTAGTATGAGACTGGTACTTAATGTCTTCTAATTCCCAATTTAGATATAAGTGATACTTTTATCCATTTCGTAAATATTGAATACCCGCTAGGAGTTTGGTGCTAGAGATACAAAGATGAGAAAGACATAGTCTCAACTTTCAAGGAGTTCAATCTCTTGGGAAAAGATACATATGAATAATTATAATAAGTCCTATGCTAGAGATGTATCAAAAAGAGTTTGGTGGTCGTAGAGGAGGGAGTGACTAATTTAGTGAGCTGAAAGTTTCATGGGCAGGATATCTGAACCAGCTCTTGAGAGAGCAGTAGGAATGTACTGGCTAAATACTTGGAAAGGCTATTCCAGACAAACGGAATTGCATGTACAGTGAGTGGCATAAACGAAGGTAGAATCTTCGGAAAATGGTATAGCTGAAACAACATTTTGTTGTACGTGATTGATAGCAAATTAAGCTAGAAAGGCAGCACTGTGAGGGACCTTCCCTAGGTGCCAGGACTGTTGGCTTTATTCTGTAGGAGTGAAGATGGGAAGCTACTGATACTTATAGCAGTTAAAATAATGTATGTAGAAACATTTTGGAAAACTTAAAATGCTCTGAACAGATTAAAGGTGATAATGTTTATTACCAAGGCAGTTAAAAATCTTTATTACTTAATACTCTCCGTAATCCAGATGAATATGTATAAAACTGTGATGTTGCTTTGAGAAAAGAACAGTGGATCCATTACTAGGAATCACTCAACCAATAGTCTCCTTTCAGGACTATCTGTGTAGAATTAAGATGGCCTAAATTTTTTCACTGCAGTAAGCAACACTAATGCTTCACTCATGTTTTCCTTTGGATTTTAGAAAGGCCGTATAGTGTAGCTGAGAGTATGATCTTTGGAGTCAGACTGTCTGAGTTCTGACCTTCTCATTACTTAACAGCCATGTGACCAGGGGCAGTTCCTTAAGCTCTCAAGTGTCAGTCTGTTCAAGTGTAACATGTGTAGCCCAGCACTTGACATAGTAGTTGTTTCTTAAATACTCACTGGATGAGTGCAGAGATTTCATTTTGCCAAATGCAGTTAAATTATCTAATTTACCTCTTTCTTTACCTCTTAAGTGTTCTATTTAAGACAGGTGTCTGATGATAGAAAAAATAGAGTTGGAGTTAGAATTCGGAAAATTTGTATACATCTTATCTTTACTCCCCTGCTCCTACCTCAGAAAAATAGTAAAATGCCACCTTACCAATTCCTAAGTATGGATGTTTTATAGGATTATTTACTTAATGAATTCTTCCTAAACTGTTGACTGCTGAATTCTGTGTGGTAGGTCCTTAGATTTTTACAGTCCCCCAAATGACTCCTGTTTATTGAACCTGACTCTTCGATAATGAAGAATCTAGCTGTGGCTTTAAAGCTACAAATTAGTACCTATGATTTGCCTAGCCTTGTAGGCACATCAAAGTGATGACTTACATCAACAGCCATGAAGCTCAGATGGCTTAGAATGACATGTATTCATGCTGAAGACATTCCTACTGAGAGAGGAGAAATGCAGGTTGCTTGTTGCAGTAATGGGCAGGGCAATTCCATTTTGGAAATGTGTTGTCACCTCTGTTGCACTGTTTTCTCAGTGCATCTGCTCTTTTATTGGCTTCAGACCCCTTAGGATTATGAATGTATTCTCTACCAAAACTCTGTTAAAACATTAAACTAAGACCAGAAACAGTATTTATCAATGCTGTCAAAAGAGACAGGAGCCATTATGATTTGCTTAGGAAATTCTATGGCAGCAGTTTTCAGCTCTTAACAATATATAGGCCTAGGCTTGCTGCAGACCTCCAAGATTAGTTTCCCTGAGAGTGGACCCTATTAATCCGTATGTTTACTTTTAATTTTAAAGACTTCTTTGAATAGAAAAACTTACTTAAGCATCAAAAATATAAAAAGTTGGACAATGAAAAATCTTCCCACTCTGTTCTCAATCTTTCTAGTTCCCACATAGCCACCAAGTAACTTTCTGTTATTAACTGTTGTTCTGGTATTAGCTATTAGTTCTTTCAGAGATTTTTTTGACAATCCAATATAAATGTATATGACATTTTCCCTCCTTTTTTCGCACAGATGTTAGTATGTTATTCATGGTGTCTTGCTAAAGGCAGATTTGATGAGCAGTGAGTAGGCTAGTTTACCTAGAGTCTTACTTATGAAGGAGCTGGAATAGTGTTTCTCAGAAGGTCTGTAGGCCATCTGCATGAGAATCATCAGGTGCTTGTTAAAAATACAAATTCCTGGACCCCACTCCATATATACTGAATCTGAATCTCTGGGGATGGTCCTTGTAATGTGCATGAAATTAGTGATCCTGAGGCACATTAAAGTGAAGCTAGGAGATAATGTGAAAAGTTAGAATTAAACATTGTAATAAGCTCGACGACTAGGATGAGAGTGTATCCTAATTCAGTAGGAAATGAGAAGTTAGGAAGATCAGGGGGAGTAATGTGAAGTAAAGCTATACTTTAGGAGATTAATTTAGTTAAAGAGGTGAAACTGGAAGGAAGAGAGGCAGGAAGACTAGTTACGAAGCTGTATCAGTCCAGATGGTACTAATTAGGCCTGAACAAGGATAGTGACCATAGAATGGGAGAAATGTGAGAGAGTGCTAAGAGGAAAGATCTGTATGACTTAGCAACTTACCTGCCAACATTCATAATTAAAAATAACCTTAAGGTTTTCAGCCTGGTAACTGGGAGAATGCCGCTGCAGTTCATATGAGTCAGTAAGAGAAGCTGTTTTCGGGTCACCATGAAAAGGAGAAACATTGGCTCTAAAGTGCCTAGTTCTGAGGCACTGTCCAATTGGAAATGTGTTTCAAGCATATGGAAATAATTCTGAAGCTCAGGAAAAGAGAATGATCGAGAAGAGTGATAAGTGATGATAGTATAGATGCTAAAACCTTGGGGGTGATTGAAATCCCTGAGGGAGAATAGAATGGTAGAACAGGTCTGAGTAAAGACTTACAGAAAATGTCTATTTCCCTAAAACATCTGTTCCTGTAAAAGCAAATGCCAGACTTATGTTGTGATGTTGGTGCTGGCCGTCGGTGTCAGAGGCTGCAGACAGGTGAAAGAATGTAAAGAGTGACAAAGGCTGCTACTTTCCTAAATAGGGGTGTGCAGAATAATGTCAGGAGACCAGAGAAGGGAAGGAGCTGGGTGGAGAGTCAGACCATGGCAAGAAGAGGAAGGCAGTTTCAAGAAGTGTGGCAGTGAAGAGGAGAAAATTGATAGTCATTAGGGTTTTCTTTTAATTTTGGTATCATTAATATGCAGTTACATGAGCAGTATTGTGGTTACTAGATTCCCCCCATTATCAAGTCCCCCCCACATACCCCGTTACAGTCACTGTCCATCAGTGTAGTAAGAATCACTACTTGTCTTCTCTGTGCTATACTGCCTTCCCTGTGCCCCCCACCCCCACATTATATGGACTAATCTTAATGCCCCTTATTCCCCTTCTCTCACCCTCCCCCACTCCCCACCCCAAGTCCATTTCCCTTTGGCAACTGTTAGTCCATTCTTGGATTCTGTGATTCTGGTTCTGTTATGTTTCTTCAGTTTTTTATTTAATTTTATTTTTTTTGGTATCATTAATCTACAATTACATGAAGGACATTATG